GGGGGGGGGGGGGGGGGGGGGGGGGGGGGGGGGGGGGGGGGTACTCCCAGAAAAGTTGGTTGGGGGTGTGCGGCCCACTTCCCAAAACCTTTACCGTATTTATGACCAAAATATGCGATTTTTGCTACCATGCGGTTGGCACAGTTGCCCTAAACATAAGTTATGAAGGGCTTTTGCTGATGGTCTTATTGATGATGAAAAAGTAGCTTCTTCTAAGAAATAGACATAATTCAAGACTAGAGTGCTAAAACCATACCCTGTTTAAGACCAAAATTGCCAAAATCGATACCCTATTTATAACCAAAACGGCTGAAAAACCCTACCCTTTGGGGCCTCACATACCTATATAGCCCATGTAAGGGAGTATCCTTCCAGGGGTAGCGCACAAACTGTAGTTGACTACGTCAATGTCAACCATAGCGCGTGCGTTGCGTGTTATCCATACTTTGCGTGATGAGCAGAACGCGTGCGCACTAATTAACACAACGTAACACAACAAGATAAAGATAAACTTCCCGTCTGACGCTTCGCAGAGCCGCGACCTTGTCTGCAACCGACGCTAAAGATTGCGAGTCTCCTCGAGGATGGTTGATCTAGTAGTATTCTAAAAACAAGGATAATGATTACTCAAACGGAGAGCGGTGAGGGTAAACTCTATTTTCAAAGCTTGGAAATTATAGGAGAACAAGGCGACGCCATAGACCAACAGTTTGTATTCCCAAGACAGTGCTTGGTTCTAGGCGACTCTGAAGTCGGTAAAACCAGTCTAGTAAAGTCTCTCACTGGAAAACCATTTGATCCTAAGCAGCAAAAAACCCAAGGAATTGATCAGTGTCTTGTGGATAATAAGTGGAAAAACTGCAACTTGAAGGATCTTATCTTCGGAGACCTGTGGAAGTTCCTCGAATTCGGCATAGTACAGGTGCTTTTGAGTACAACTGGAAGAGCAACTTGTAATGTTGCTCAAGAGTTCATTGTCAAGTTTGGCTGGAAGATGCTCGTTTTCGGGTTTCTTACTGTTTTCAGTGTTATGGGGTTCGCAATAGTTTATAATCTCCCCCTCACAAGTTTTTCAATTTTCTTCATTTACTTTGGTCCCGTGCTTTTTCAGCAATGTGCTATTGACTGCAACATTACTAGCAATTTAAGATTTATTTTGGTTACCTTCATTTCCATTCTGAGCCATCGCGGATTATTAATTGGTTCACAACTACTTCTAGTGATATGCTATTTTGATGAAAGTTTTGTTGAATTTGTCGGTTGTGCATTTCCTACTCTGGGCTCAACAGCTGCCATTGCGTTGGTCGTTTTGTTCATTCTAATAGGACCAATACAAATGCCTTTATTTGACACAAGTCAACTAGTAAAGCGTCAAAACTTTATCGTGATTCTCTGTTTTTACCGGTTATTATTGTCAATTTTTATTGGTTTTATCATTGGTTTTGTAGCAACAGTATCGCTTGTGGGTGCTTTTAACAAAGAGTCATCTACGAAAACACTTTTAACTTCCACAAACAACAGGCATGTTGTGCTAGCAAGTATAATTACCCCTTTTGTGTTGATTTCCCCGACTGATTTTATTTCCGAACCAATAAATCGTATTAGCATTAGATCATCAATGGAAGATGGATCATTGGGACCTTGTAACATACTACTCATTTTAGCTTTCTTTTATCATTGTAAATTAGCGTTAACTTCGCCAATATACTATTTTGTAATAACATACCCTTTATTTATCTATTTTACTTTCTGTAAAGAATGTTTACGTACTTATTCAATCGGCAGCTTCAGTGAATACCTTTCTAACAATTATACGAAACTAGCAGTTATGGGAATTGGAGAAATGGACAGAGGAATGCTAAAAAGTGCTTTGCAGGAAAAATTTCCCTCACTCAAACTGCAAATCCTTGATTTTGCTGGGGATAAAGAATACTATGCCTATCATCACATGTTTCTCAAGAGCCATGCACTTTATGTTATTGTATTTAATATAGCTAAGCTGGTAAAAGATAGTTTCAAAAATTTAAATACGGACATCGAAAGACTTCAATTCTGGTTGGAATCTGTCTGTAGCCATGTACCACCGAAAACACCAATCTTCCTTGTTGGAACTCACAGAGGAGACTTGGACGAAACCTGCATGCAAACCTTAAATGGTCATATAAGGAAAAATCTTTGGGACCCCTACTGTGATGAGCTGGTTGTCAATGAGGTTGATAAGTTGATATTTTTTCCTGTTGAAAATTCCAAAGGAGAAAATGATGTTGGAGTCCAAAGCCTTCGAATAAAAATCATGTCTGTTGCTGAAGAAAGAGAGGCAGCTAGAGAATGTGACATACCTTTAACATGGATTACATTACAAGATGCAATTATCAGTCTACGGGAAAAGAAGAAAGCCAAGTTATGTGTGAATCTTAAAGAACTTCCTTATGTATTTGACAACTTCATTTGCACCAACTGGTCTGAAGAAACCTTGAAATACTTCCATGAAAAAGGCCTGGTTATATACCTTGACAAAGATCGAGATCTGTCCAATTGGGTTCTTCTTAAGCCTGAAATACTGGTTGATATTATCATCCAGCTTGTCACGCCACCACCACAAATGATCCAGGAAAGAGGCTTCAGACGTGACTGGAAACTTCTGCATCGCAAAGGAATGCTGACTGAATCACTGCTGACCAGAATAATCTCAACAGTGCAAGAAAACGAAGAAGCCTTGACAGCATTCCTTGAGGAATACGATTTGATCTGCCCCTTGTCAAACAAGAAGGTGAACATTTGTAGCTTAAGTGATGTTGAGGAACACAAGCCAACTCACTTTGTTCCATCCTTGCTCCCAATGTCTGCAGATGGATACATTCCCGCATGGCATGACAACACCACAGACAAGAAGTTCTATGTGTTCTTCACGAGGTTCCTTCCAGAGCCCCTGTTTCATCGCTTGCTATCTCGTGCCCATAAGAACAGCAAGTTGGAGTTTCCAAATGGTGAACCTGTTATGTTCAAAGATGTTGGCAAGTTCTGGATGAGTCCTTGGCAGCCTTACAGGCTGAAACTGATGAAAGAAGAGACAATCATTGAAGTGACATTCAGCTCCAGGTATTTTTAGAAAAAACTCATGAGCTTTAGCAGAATCTGGTTCAAATGTGATATTCAAAGGATACGTCCCCAGCTCTTCTAGCCTAGCTACTCAGTCCATTAAATTCCAATATTTATTCTCCTTTACTGCTGTACATACCTTCACATATTAGTTGCGAGTATACTTATATTTAAAACCATACACATACGTGTATCTCAAAGTTGATTTTCATTAGTTCCAAGGTTAAAAATACATGTACGTACGTTCAACATATTTTTTTAGAAGCTCAAAACTGGTGTTGATTAGGTTTACACTGGAGTGGCTTGAAAACAATTTGGCCTTTACTATAAGTCTGTCACCACTTTTAAGAGATGACCATTAGTTCAACTGTTCAATTGCATTTTGGTAAACAAAGCCAATCATTTTGTAATTAAATTTTACAGCAACATG